TCTCATTGGAGTATCCATCAATATCCTTGCATGCAATATGCAGGGATACCTCACAGTTTCCTCATGAGTGTATTTACTGCATGATGGATTCACCTTTAGATGGTATGTGTCACCAGACTGAAGAAAAAAATATGGCTTCACTTTACTAATTATTTCTTAAATGACTATTTCCCCCTCATTTATGGAACTCATTTTATACCTTAACATTTCTGCAATGGCCAGTTAGTATTGTTCAAAAAAGGCCATAATGTACTGAATTCAAATGCTCTATTATGCCGCAAGAAGTGGATTCCTCCATCTTTTGAAACCCAGAAGTCCATTCCCCACTCCACAAAAAGTTTTTATTGTAAGGCTACCAATATATCCAATATATTGCAAATTTTCTTTTCAAACAAATTCTAAAAACTTTTAAACCTGAAAGATGTCTTTCACACTTTTCCCAGTCATGTTGGTAAAGAATTTTTCCCTTTATGTACAAACTGTTTTGTTTGTGATGATTGTTTTGTGATTTCAATACTCAAATTGAAAGCTATATACTATTGTCTTCACCCAGCCCTTCATTCCTTTGATTACAGTGCACCCTGCATAAGATTTGGCCTCCAGAATAACACATTTGAAATGTACATGTAGGTACATTTTCTTATAGCAGAGGTTAATTTGTGTCGTTTTTTTTCAGATGGTGGAAATGACAGTGACAGTGACGACAGCAATGACAAAGTCGGAGAAGTTAGATTTGTTCCTGAAGACAAGTCAGCATGTAAGATGTCTGTCATGTTTTACCTCAACTAAAGATTAACTTAATATTGACAATAATTTATCAAATAAAGTTGAAGATGATCAATTGTTATTACATGCAGAATTATTACACCAGGTTTTTAACTTGACCCTTTAAATCCCAAGATGTGATTGTCAATTCTCTTCTCTAGTTTCTACACTAGTAGTTGGGATTAGACCAAGATATCAACTTCTACCTGATAAGTTTGACTATTCTTATTACACATTTGCTGGATAATGTATGGATATTATAGGGAGAATTTGCTGGTTAACCCTCTAACTCCCATGAGTGACCAAGACAGAATTTCTCCTTACAATATCAATACAATATCAATCAGATTAGTGAGGAGAATAAAGAAAAATAGCAATTTGGGGATAAGAAGTTGATCCAATACTTAATTCTCTTAACAAACATTATAAGAATTGTATGGTTGACAGTAAAGAGAATTACAAATTTGATCTGGGAGTTAAAGGGTTAAGATAAATAATAACAACATTTGTCTGACTCTTTATTGTTTACTTCAGTTTTTTTTAAAAAATAATTTATTGATTGAAGCCGATGATGTTCAATAGTTGTTACATATAAAATTATCGCACCAGGTTGTTAACTAAAGGCAGACAACAACAACATATGTCTGACTCTCTGTTGTTTACGTCAATTTTTGTTTTTTTTTGTTTTCACATTACAAGTGGATGTCATGTTCAAGGCTTTATCTGAGTGTCAGGTTCTCCATCCAGACCCTGAGAATGAAGAAGGGGAAGGTACATTAATATTCTTTGATTGAAGTACTAATTGATTAGTCCTAGAGTGATGCAGTTATGATGGAGTGCAAGGCTCTCCATGCTGTGTTCTTGGGCAAGAAACTGTACTCTCTCAGTGCTTCTCTATCTAGGAGTGCTGGTGAACTGTCAGAGAAACCTGATGAAATGCCGGCAGGTTCACTTATAATGGACTAGCCTCGTGTCCAGGGGGAGAAGTATGAAAGGGCAGTAATACACGAATATGATTATACCTCTGCATGCTGAGTCTTAACGGTGTTGTTGTCACACAATAACTCGTTCGCGTCTGAAGCTGTTAGAGTCGTTGGTGAGGTTTACTTCGCTTTATTCGCCTTAAGATCCTTATAAACTTTGTTGCAAATAAAAAGAATTGCATTTTACTAAAGATCTCGTCTAGAAAGCCAAGTTTTCGTTAAAAAAATCTGAGCGATTGACATGATGAGTCTTTACGGTGTTGTTGTCGCACAATAACTCGTTCGCGTCTTAAGCTGTTATAGTCATTGGTGATGTTCACCAATGTTCACCGATGTTTAAGCTTCTGTTTGATGTTCACCAATGTTCGCCAGTGTTTTTTTACTAAATATCGTTTACTTCTCTGTATGTTTAACTTCTAATAAGTTGTATTGGATTGACGACCAACTCGCCGACGTCTCTACTCGATTTTATACGTCGGCGAGTTGGCGTCGGCGAGTTGGTCCGTCGGCGAGTTGACTGGTTACCGTGTCCAGGGGGAGAAGTATGAAAGGGCAGTAATACACGAATATGATTATGTAAAAATCATATATGTGAATGTGAAATTAAGAGTACAAATAAACTCTACTTAGACAGTAGTGAAAATAAGGTGTGTAAGGATGACTTTCATATTCAAAGTGATAATACACTGAGTCACTTTATGCTACAGAAACTGGGAAAAGTCTGGCTTTATTTCTGACTGTACCTTACCTTGCCTTTTGTTGTAGAGGATGAAGACTTTTTTTGTGATGCAGAGGAAGGAGAGCTTTCAGAGGAAGGACAGGTCTCACTGATTTCTTTTTTTTACTTATTTTCTTTAACACCATTGTGCCACAACAAAAGATGCTTAAATTTCAAGGGAGCCAGTCAAAGTTACAATAGTGAATATAAAAAACTGAATTCTTAGGTTTTCATAATCTTCAGGAAAAAATCAAATCATTGTTTTCTCTAATCTGTACTCTGATTTTTTTTCTCTCTCTAATCACAGGCAACACTTGAAAGACTGGAAGGCATCATACAGATGCCAAGTCAGGAGGAGTTTGTCCAAATGACGTCCACCCAAAATGGGCACTACCTTAATGGTCACAGTAATGTGCCAGGTTAGTGGAGATGACAGTTAACTCTTTGACCATAAAGAGTGACTGGCATCTAATTTCTTGTTACAATATCACCCCTGAATCACACATTTAGGTCATGAGGAATAGAGGAAATGATTACCAACTAAAGAAGCTCTGGATTGTTCAACAAATTCTCCTCGTCAGCACCTCAGGAAATTTATAGAGAATTGTACGGAGAATGTGAAAACTGATGCTAAGGTGACTGGTGGGCTCCTATTCACAGCTCTGTGATAAGCAGGTTGAAAAATTGCTGATGATTTGTATTGAATAATATTTTAATTTTCCTTTTCCCAGCTGATGATGAAATGCAACCCAATACAGGAAATGATGAGCAGTTTGAAGATGCAGAGAAATAACAACATGGTCATGACAAAAAAACATTGTTCCATGCAAGAAAGACCCCATTTTCACAGCTGTAGCTCTTATCAGGGAAAGAAGAGAAATGTTTTTTTCCAGGCCCAGCTGTGCTTTTTTTTTTTCAGGCAGAGAGGAACTTAACAAAATGCTGTGTACTTAATAAGGACTACTGCATTATATAGAAGTTCATTGGAGGTCTAACAACATGATATTGTTATATATTTAAGAGGAAAAAAACAATGACATGTAAAATATTCTCAACATATAATCAGAGAGAGAAGAGTCCTATATTGTGGCATTAATAATTTCCAGGGAAACTCATTACGTGTAAAACTGTAAATTTTGTTACACTTTTACTTCTCGCACAATATTATTCACATTTTGATTTGTATACCCTGTCTTGTTGCAACTCATCATTGGTTGTGCTGAAAGAATACTGATGATCAAATGATCAGAAAGAGTTTATGCATCTTCAGTGTAAGGCTTTCTGAAGCCAAATTTGCTACTAGAAGTAAAAACAGTCTGTTAAGCACAAATATTTCTTCACCCTGTGCAAAGTCCTCCTTCTATTAAGATCCTTTGCATGATGTTGTTTGTCTTGTTAAAAGGAAATAATAATTTCTTTTGGAAATGAATTCAACTTTGTGGCCTTTGTATCATGGTATTTTTATGTCCTATACAGTTGAGTGAACCTAACACAGCTGTTTTCTTTAGAGGCAAAAATGAACTGGAAGGGGAATGCAGTGGCTCCTTGCCCACTTCTACATTAAACAATCAGTTGGAAAACTCGTGCCCATTTTCAGCATTTTAAAGTAATTAATACTGAAAAAAGGTTTATGATAAATGCTTAAGAACAGAACTCATAACTTCCAGCTGCCATCTACCTCTCGGAAACAACGAAAAACCGTTTTTTTTTCAAGCTTCCTTCCAATTATTCAACAGCTGTTCCTCCTGTGCAGACTTTGAAACCACTTGTTCAATGGTTTTATTTTTCTGTTTGTTTCCTTTGTTTTGTCAATTTTTTCTTACCACAATTGAAACCAAATATTTCATGATTGAAAAAAACAACTCACAAATTTCCAAAAACGAATTATTCATCATTTGTTTTTGTGAAAGTATAATCCTCATTTGCCAAGCTGAAATCATTATAAATAACTTGAGATATCAAAAGTTGAAAAAAGAAAGAAAAAAGAAATATGAAAATGAATCATAAAGAGGAGGTACCTCTGCATCCATATTTAGTGAATTTAGCCAATATCTTCAAGGGAAGTCCACGAAAATTATTACTTTAAAATTCAAGAACTGTCGGTTACCGGAAACAGGTTACCTTAGTTTACTTCCGGAACTTTTCTCCTGTTTTTTTCTTTAGCATTGTCAATGACGACATTTCCGGTGTGATTTGAACATAACACAAAATCGCAGAGCAGTTCTTTCGCTGGCTCATTTTCAAAGAATCACTTTGCACTTTCATGCCGTTTTATTGCTGTCAGAGCTTGCTTGTGGCGGATCGGGAGGCCGAAGATATGAACTACTATCGAAATGCTAACAAAGATGTAGCCCCAAGGAACAGCTTTAGACACCGTATAGTTACTAAAGAAATGGCTTTCTACTGCTTTGATATCTTAGCCATGCATCTAGGCTTATATCATCATCAAGAAGCGCCGTGGCCAAACTTCCCAAACGATGAGTTGTAAGTATATTAAGGTTCCCTGGTTTATTTGCAGTTTATCGTACAGTAGCGATAGCTTAGCTGACCTTCGCATGGGAAATATATAGCTCAGTGAGACGCGATTTGGATGAGAAACGGCCGTATTCTTGTTCAGGGGTTTCTCTGTTCCTGGCAACAAAAGATTGTACATGAAAAGAAACGCCGATCTAGCGACCGAACGTTCGCTTCACCAACCACGAATTTGGTCTTAAATGAAATCTTTCCCGCTGACTCCATTCGGTATGGCAATTAGAACATTTCTTATTGCCTCAATGGTCGGTGAAAAAAAAATTTATGTGACCTTGAAACAGGCAGTTTTGCATGACTTCAACCGAAGCTACAGTATACAAAATGCAAATTAGTCGACCGATTTTGGCATTGTTATTGTTTGAACCTCCAAGATTATATCATTCTTTTGACATGTTACCTGTAACATTTCCCAGGAATTGGTCGAGCATCGTTTGAAAGGAATATTTTAGGCGAATTGTTCAAGCCTTCGTCTCAGTTCAAAATCGACGAAATTCAACGTAGGTGTAGTTCGGGAGGCCCTAATTTGAGTTCTTTGTATACATGAATTTTTTTCATTAGCTTCAGCTGTAGTTTGTTCAGGCTTATTAAACTTAATATTTATTATCTGGCCATTGGTGTAAATATATTTAGTTGCTCAATCTTTTTAAACTGGTGCAGATCTCGTGGTTGAAAACAAATTGAAATTTTTAGCAATGTTTTTCACTGCCGGATTGTTTGAGATGTATGTGGTCATGCTAAACTTGGTTTGAAAGAGATTTTCAGATAGGCGATGTTTATGTTTTTGCCAAGGTGACTCTCGCGGAACAATAAATATATCTGCTTTAAAACCCAATCAATGTGAAACTTACAGTATTTGAAAATTGTGTACTCTGTTTCTATGGCACTTTGTTTAAGAAATTGATTTCTATGCACAATGAATCCAATTTCGTCTTGCTCAATAGACCAAGTAGGAAAAAATTTTTGGAATTAATATATGTTACTGTCAACAGTTTGCTATCAACTAACTGAATTATAAAAAATATTCATGACTTGTAAAATGAGCCATCTTCCTGTTATGGTATCAAGATATATTTTTTTCTCAATTTTTAAAAACAAATCTGCTGTTGATGTATGCAAAATAATTATGTATTTGTTGGTGATTTTCATGCTATTGTTAAATTTTCATTCAAACTTATCTTTATTTTTTCATTCTTCCCAAGCTTAGCCCATTGATATCTATTAAATAAGTACAGCTTAGAACAAAAAGTGATGGAATTCATTTAGATAATTTTCTCTCAGATTCCCATATTTTTTGTCAAAAGCAATTTGCTGATTCTTATAGCCACAATTGTTTTTATGTATATTAGTATAAAGGTTCAAAGTTCATCAATGTAGCAATTTTTGTATTACAATTTTAGAAGCAGATTGATTTGACCCTATATTTCTTAAAATCCAAATAAAAATTTTCTGCACCGTCAACCACAGATTTCCCACAATTTTACCTCTTAAAATTGGTTATAAAATCAAACAAGATTCCTTAATTAATAATTTCATTTCTATGTCCAAGAGACTTCATGTTGCGTGACAGTAATGTACATGTATCTACTACGCGGAGACAGATGTCTAGAATAAGTCTAGCCATCAAGAGATAATGAACTCTCAAGCTAGAGGAACTGATTGACTTCTTCTGATTATCACCTGGCAACAACCAGTCACGTTATTAATGTGCTAACTAGTATAAAATCCTTAAAACTTAAGGGTCCTTTTTTCATGCAATAATACTGTAGCTCTTGCCCATCTGTTTTACTGATTTACTGGTAATACTGCAAAAGTGCAGCAAGTGATTAGTTAGGCAAACAACTCTACTGATTGTTTATTTAGTGTAGTTCAGAAAACCCACGTGAACTGGACTAAGTTCTCACCATCTTCTTGTCACCTTTTTGTGGAAAATTTATAGATAGATTCACAAACATAATGCTATCCACAATGCTGACCCTATCAGTTTAGTAGGACATGTGTCATGTTTGAAATCCATAATGGCCCCTGCTCACCACAATCTCTGTGGCTCAGTGGTAGAGCATCAGAACTCGGAATCTGAAGGTCTGAGGTTTGATTCCTCATGGGGACTCAGAGTGTTTCCTTTGTCCCATGCTTGTGACAAGATGAAAAATATCTTTCTTTATGTATTGATTTGGTCAGGAGAAATTACATTTTGGTCATGCTATAGGGTTTTTGTTTTTGCAAGCCATAAATTTGTATCAGTATTGACTTGAACAGGGTTATTCTAGAGATTGCCTCAAGATGACCCAACAGGCCTTTTAGTTCAGGGGTCCTTTTCAAGCAGGGAGGCCTTTTTCAAAAGAGGGGCTCTTTTTGAAGAAAGGGGCCCCAGGAAAGTGGTAACCAAGAAGGCGTTTGAACATATTTGTATACTAGTCTTACCAGTGAGGAGACCCAGAAGGGAAAAGAAATTTAGATAGTGAGAGGCTATTAAGTTTGAATTGACTTGAAATATAGCGGCTCAATCTGAACCTGCCAATTATTTTTTAGAATTTCCAAATACAAAATTCTTCAAAATTGAACCCCATTTGTTGCTCAGATGTAATTTTTCATGTGGCTTCTTATCACATAATTTTTAGAAAACTTGCAAAGCTGTGCTTTAGAATAAACTCTCTTGAGCATTTTATTTTTATTATCAAGTTGAGTTTAGAGATCCATGATTCTAAAAGCCTTGTTTGAATAGTTCTCAGCAGAATCTAGCAAATCCCTACTATTACAGGCCATTCCCTGGGTTTGTATCCACAATTAATGACATTATTGTCTCTCTTTCTCTGTTTTTAGTCCCCTATTTGTCACTTGGAAGATTGGCCAAGATCACCGACTACGGGGTTGTATAGGAACATTTACCGCAATGCGACTTCACAAAGGTCTTAGAGAATACACCCTTTCCAGGTAGGAATTAATTTTTAACTTAAGAACTAATAAAAACTTGCGTGATCTAATTATAAATTCCTCCCTTGTAGCTGCTTTATGATTTCTTTCAACTTCGTGAGGAGAATTTAATTTGGACTTGTATCAAAAACTGTGAGAGAAGTGACAAGTTACAGTAGTTCCATGTACTTCTGGTCGTCAACCCCTTATGCTATCATCATAATGCAAGTTCTCCCTACCATTATCTATACATTTGTTATGCTACTTACAAGGAGAATTTGCTTAACAATCAGGAGATTAACCCTTTCCACCCTAACACAAGTATTCATATTCTTCACACTGTATTCCATACATTTGCCAACTGAAGGTGCTGTTTCTTTCACCATTGCTCCTTAAAATTTTATTTATGTTGACTTATTGTTTGTGGGAGAAGTTTTGTTTGATTTCAAAACCTAAAAGTTCTTTGTTTTACACAACAATGTAATGCAAAGAAAACTTCTAGCACTGAATAACAAAGGCAGATGAGTAGCACGTTTTTTTAAGACTGTGTGTACAAAAAAGTAGAATATGCACATCTGACTACCCTGTGTATACATCTGTGTAGTTAACATATGTGTGAGTGGTATTGTACATGTATAACAACATACATTATTTTGTTTAGAGTAACGCTTTATTTTTTTGTAAAGGAGACACTTAAACCCAGCTGATCTCTTGTTGCAAAGTCAGATTTTTCTTTAATGGATTGTTTTAAATGTCTTCATCTGACAGCTGTGTTTTCTATTCTTTAGATTCTCAAAGATATGTTTTTTTCTTTTACAGTGCTTTAAGAGATAGCCGATTTTCCCCAGTCACCAAAGATGAACTAGCATACCTCTTCTGTTCTGTGTCTGTGTTGACTAATTTTGAAGAAAATGTCAATTGTTTAGACTGGGAGGTTGGTATAAAATGTATTATAGATATACTCTTGGCTGCATTAGATTACAGACTTGTTATGCAATCATTTAAATGCTGTATATTTGAGTTTTTATGGATGTGTGAACTTGTTTATTTAAGAGCTTGGGAAAAAATGAAAGAAGTTTTTCAGTTTTTTGTTTTAGATCTTTCACTGCATATATCGACTGTCTTTCAAAAATGAATATCAAAGTAAATAATGAGTTAACTTGATGAAAAACTCAACTTAATGTCAGCACAGTATGTTAATGCAGCACAGAGTAAATGTCATTGTACATTCCTAAAATGAAAAGACTGCACTGGTCGTCACTCGCTGTTCCCTGTCTCTTTCCATGTTGCTGTTTTTTTATTCCATGATCAATTGTTCTTTGGATTGTTAGCCAAGTACATCAGCATTGAGAGTGAAAGAGAAAGGTTTTACTGTTTATTGAATCTGTCAGAGAGTACATGTGGTAAATTTTTAAATAATCTATATGCAGCTGTAGAGCTCCAAGGAACTGGAAAATACAGTCATGTCTTTTGAACAGGTCGACAATTTGGTCAAAGCTCTTTCTTTCATGGATGAATGGAAGTAAAGAGACCACTCTCAATGCTTTGATTTCTAATGTCATGTTATGTTAGCTGACCCAGTGATGCATTTTAATTTCTTCATAGATTGGTGTTCATGGTATACGGATAGAATTTTATAATGACAAAGGTCACAAAAGAACTGCTACTTACCTTCCAGAGGTTGCTAAAGAACAAGGTACTGTGTGTTAAGCATCAAACATTATTCTTTTTGAGTGTGGTTGTGATAGAAAATCAGGATTATTAAGAATTCTCAGAGACTGCAACAATTTTTCCGTCACTCAAGTTAGGGCAACTATGCACCTACCCCTCCCCTAACCCTACAACAGTCGACTAATAACAAGTTGGGGTTAATGTTTGGTTAGGGGAGGGGTAGGTGCATAGTTGCTTAGGTACTGACATCGATCCATTTTAAGTATATTTGATCATGAGTGACCAAGACAGAATTTCTCCATACAATATCATGCAGGCAAGTAATGAGAATAGAGAAAAATATCATTTGTGGGATAACTAATTGATCCAATACTAAATTCTCCAAACTAACATAATGAGAATCATTTGGTAAATGGTAAGGAGACTTACTAATGAGATCTTGGGTGTTAAAGGATTAATGCATGTGAATGTGTGACTGTCCATTTTAGGTTGGAATCAAATCGAGACCATTGATTCTCTCCTGAGGAAAGGTGGCTTCAAAGGAACCATCACCCAAGATGTTCGCAACTCAATCAAAGTGACTCGTTATCAGAGTGAAAAAGTCACTGTAGATTATAAGGAATATCTTGCCTCCAAACAATGTACATGACAACTGTTTAGTCTAGGTCTAACAAATGTAGGCAACTAGATCTGTGAATACCATTTTCAAAGATGTTAATAATTATAATTATTAATTAACTCCTTGTTATATTATATGTATATTTATTGACACGGCCAGCGTCATGGGAAGCAGTGCAGCTCTCTTTTTGTTGTTTTCAAGTCTCAGAGTCAATGGATGTTTTGAAAATGGTAATCAGAGAGCTGCATGGCTTGCAAAGCTTGTTTTGTGTGGGAATCACATTGCAATTCAATCTATTACACTTCAAAACCTTTTCACTAGTCTTATAACAAAGGTAGAACTGCAAGGGTGGAGAGATAACCAAAATCTTTTATCAAATGTTTATGGTTTCAACAAAACTCCTCAGAAAGACCTGAGTTGATTTTTTTGTTTGTTAAATTTAATTATATTTAGTAATGATTATGAATTTTAAATTAGTTTTAGCATCTTCTCTCTTACAATTTTTGCTCCTTCAAATATGACTTATCTGCATAAAACCATTTTGGTGAAACATGTTCATAAGTTAACGAGCAAATAGAAATGTTTTTCAATTACTCCAATCACTCAGAAGCACACCTTTGTTCTAATACAACAGAAAGGTTTGATGACTTTTTTCAACTGTTTAAGTTACAGGATGACTTAATATTTTTTTTTACTTGGCAGTGTCAAGTACCTCCACTACAGATATAGTTCTCGTCAATACAGTCAACTCTCACGTAATGAACACTCTCGTAAGTGGACAGTTTTACTCACTGACACATTTTCAATTCCCATTTTTGTCTCTCAGTCAAACTCTGTATTTGCACATTCCCATAGACAGACACTAACTCATAAGCGGACTCAGACCAGTGTTCTCCCTTATTTTACGCATGACAGGTAAAATAAATTTTCAAACCAGTAAAGCAATCCTTTTACCTGTTGAATTTTAAAGAATTCCAAGCAGTTTAAAACGGTAATAAGAGGTACTAAAGGTGGTAAATGTTACCAGTTACCACCTGAAAAGGAGAACACTGTCAGACACTATTTAAGCGAAAATTTGTTTTTTCTTTTGTTTACACTCTCATGAGCAGACACCCCATGCATAATAATTGATTCTTGGCGATAAAATTTGTCTTTAGCTTGCACTTCAACAAAAATATGACCTTGAGATTCGTTTGTCAAATCTCCATTTGTCTGCAGAAAAGCAAGCTGTTGATTTGTTTGTCATTAACTTGAGAGTCCACCATAAAACTCCCTCCTGAGAGGAAATCCACCCTATATTTCTGATGTTTGCTTATGAGAATAATTCCTGTAGGCAAACAGTTCTAATAACTGACACTTTTTTCCAATTTCTGAGGGTGTTCACTTACAAGGGAGTTGACTGTGGTTCTTCTGAGATTTGTTAGCATTTTGATTGAGGGAGTCACATTTTTTTGTGCGAGCATGCAATTTGGTATTTAGGGGTCAACTATAGCATGCTTGTTCTCATCTCTTGGACAGGTGTATTTACCACCAAATATAAGTTAGTTTTGACAACTTTCTGTTTTTCAGAAATTTTTTTTTGCAATTTATATTTTACTGCTCTCTTAAACATCTCAGAATTTATCTTTTGGTATGTACCAAGACTACTATGTAGCTAGGATAACATCTGTATTTCATAGTTAGTGCTACAAATTGAAAATTGCATTTCATTGAGTTGCATTACCACAGTGTGGTACTTAATATCAATAGTTAATGTTTGCATGAAAAATTTTGTATTATTAATTAATATTTTTTTCAAATTCTACAACCAGCTGTCATTAATAGCATCTTATGCAGATATCTGTGAAGCTTTCACAGATATCTGGGAATTGATTGTGAGATTAGGGAACAAGGAATGAAGAAAGTGTGAGGGAAGGGAAACGTCCACAAAGGAGGCAAGAGCCATGGCAGATATTAGATTGTTTCTTTTTCCTTTTTTAATTGCCAAATTCCTTGGTTACCATTTTTTTTTAGGTCATTTCTTGTTTGAAGATTTACCTTTCACCTGGGTATTGTTGGAAATTCATTGTGGCAACATCAATCCTTTATTTTTTGTGGCTAGTACTGTATTGTAAACAGCAACAAAGTCTCACTGTTTTGTTACTGTTAGGAAAAGTTTTGATGTTTCCAGTCTTTAACTCTAAGTAATTTTTCCCTAACATCACTAGAATTATTGGATATTCTTTTTTTTTCCTGCAAATTCCAATCAAAGGGGCTAGATCAACCAATTTTAGGATATTCTATTGATTAACTTACCAATTTAGTTTAAAAATGAATCCAACACATGAAAACTGAAAATGAGAGAGTTACAGTAAACTTGATGATAGACAGACTTCCCAAAACTGTTGCTCGAAACTCGCATAAAACAGCTATGTATGTAGGAAATCAGACTTACTTTTGCTAGTTTCGTGAAGGGGAAAAAATGACGGTTTACCTGAAATAATGCTGCATCTGGCCCCTCTCTGTGACGCTTAAGAACATTTTCTCTTTTTCCCACAAATCTTGTCTTTCACTTGTAATTTATCATTTTGTTATTTGCCTTAACCCTTTGATGTTGACTAGTATTCGCTTTTTGGTCATTTATGTCAAATGTATGCTCTTGATTCTGCTGTTCTTTCTTCTAATATTAAAAATTGAAATGAAGGTGTTCTTGATGTGCTTTGATTTTTTTCCTGACTAAATAAAGTCAGAATTGTAGCTCATTGCAAACACATCACAAAGATGGATGTTCATCTTCCATTTCTTTTAAAGTCAAATTCAATCAGAAAATAAATAGTAAGATCACTTTAAAACATTTTCTTCCTGCAGTTGATTTCTAGAATTATCAGATCATGTTGAGATCTGGTCCAAAAACCTCAGAAAATCGAATAGGAACAGTTAATTGAAAAAACATGAAAACAGTCCCCATATGAGGGCTGTAAGCTATGAACCAGCTAGAGCATGGTTTGTACCCTTTTTCAGAGACAAATCTCGAGAACTCTTCTAGGACTCTGACAGATTTTTCTGGGAGCCTAGATTTCACCTTTAACACTTTTATACCCAAGATTTCAAAATCAATTCTCCCTTGGGTCTACATACATTTCTTATAACATAAATTCTGAAAACTTTATTGCTTGAGTTAAGCAAATTTTCAAGACTTTCAAGGACTTTTAGCCATTTTCCAGGAAATGTCAAAATAAAATTCCAGGACATTCCAGGTTGCGCAGGACCTATACAATCCCTGAGGAAAGTGAAAAGGTTGTCTTTCGGTATAAGAGACAAAAAGATCGAAGATGATACTATATGATACAGGCTAATTCACTCCAACAAGTTGTATTTAATCTACTACTCACACTTACAGACAAATACCCTTAACTTACAAATTCTGTACCTGTAAAACAGATCTTACCTCAGTGACACAATTTTAACTATTATCACACCACAACAAGCTGTTACAATTAACCATTTTTACTTTACCTTCCACATATTTCATTTTGTGAATTAATCAATATTTACAAGAAACTTTCAAAGCAGAATATTTAAATTAGCCAATAAACAAACTGGAGAAGTATAAATAGTGTCCAGAATTAATTTCCATCCTTTCCAAAGGTTATTTAATTGATAAATAAATTATTCCAAGTTTTTAAAAAAAGAAAAACAGGCCTGTCTGTCCAGAATTAATTTCCATATTTTCCAAAGGTAATTTAATAAATTAATTACTCAAAGTTTCAAAGAGAAAAAAACAGGTAGTCCAATTATTCCAAGTTTCAAAGAGAAAAAACCAGGCCTGTTCAGAATTAAATTCCATCTTGTCCAAAGGTTATTTAATAAATAAATTATTCCTAGTTTAAAAAAAAAACAGGCCTGTCCAGATTTAATTTCCTTCCTTTCCAAAGGTAATTTAATAGATAAATTATTCTAAGTTAAAAAAGATAAAAAACAAAAACAGTGCCCAGCAGCTGGGCATGAACAACTGTTTTAAACTAAGTTAACAGTCACACTTAAAGATTGAATATACAATTATAATAGTTGATGACCTTTTCCAATCCCAGCACCATCAGATTTCATCACTAAGTTCACAATCTATTATCATCCATTTCTTCGATCAGTGCAGGCCTATGGCGGCTGCCACGCCTCAAATCTTTCCTCTTACAGTAAAACATGGCCAGAGTACCACCCGCAAGTAACGCCACCATTGACACCACTGAGGCCACAATAGCAATCTTACTTTTGTAGTCCAATGTAGCTGTTGATAAACAGTGTAAACACACAGTCAGTAAATAAACATAACAAACAAACAGATAAATACATAAATTGGAGCAACTGGAACAGGCTAATGACCCCCCTGACTGTTTTGTTAACCCATTCTACTTTCAGAAGTGATTAACCCTAATAGCTAATCCCCATACAACATCACATAAATATGTTATCACACAAAAGGTAATCAAAATGAAAAATATATCAACAAGGGGATGTTATTTGATGGAACAGTAAAGAGGTCAAGTGGAAGAATTTCAAATCACGTTTTAGAGGTTTGAGGGTTAAATTTGCTTATTTTCAAGAAAATGCAGCTTGATTTGCTTTGCTTTATCTTGTGTTGTGTAGTTTTCTGAACTTTGTTGAAAAACTGTCCAAATGATGCAAGAAAATGGAGGCACCTAGCAGTGGTACATCAGATTAATAGAAAAATGTTTCAAACTGGAAGTGATATTTTGTGAAAAAATAATCCTTTAACAATGTGATCATTTACCCTTCAATTTTTTTTATTAATACATGAATAGACATGATGACTCACTTGGAGTTGGGTAATGCTTTTCACAGTCCAGTGAGAATTCGTCCTTTATAACTTTGTGATATAGTCTCTCAGAGGGCACCATAAACAGCTGACAGAGAAAAAATTTAATGAGCAACATCATCAGTTAAAAATAATCATATTAATAAGTATTGGTAGTTGTACAGAGTGGAGTCCAATTCAGTTTTGTATGTCAAGTGCTGGAAGAAATTGGACGACTGCAAAGCAGGAGTCAAATTTGTTTTTTACAAGTATTGTGGGAAGTAAAGAGTCATGACTTAGCAAAATCCATGGAAAAAACAAAACAGAACAGAATTAAAAAGTGTATAATCAGCTCACCAATGGTCAACAATTCACAAAATGTTCCAAATTGACTGACACAAAACATTCAATTTTCCATCAAAAATTTCTGGATATTCTTCAGAAATCCTACAATTATGCAAGCACACCAACCTGGTAAGAAACTTTATCTGCCATTTTGCCAATCTTGGCTTTGAAGGTTACAAACTCCCACTCTTCAGATCCTCCAGCCATTCTTCGCTTCCGTGCATGCTCCTTACTGGTCACAAATGTCCCAAATAAGTGAACCCTCTTTTCATCATCATTGGTAAATTTTTCTGAGGCAGTACGATGCCATTTCCCAGACTCGTTGCGATAAAAATTAACATTAACTGAAGGATTGTCAGTTGACATGTCATGGAAGGTGGAAGACACGCCAATGAAATGGGTATCTTTGCCAATGCCAATAGGAATGTGCTCACACCAATGCTTGTTACAGGAAGATCCATCCTCCTCCATAAGAGAACAACTTCCTGCAAAAGGTCAGAACAATGCAAGATTTAATTTGAAATTCTCCCTTCTAGCTTCTTCATTCTTTTCTGAGAATCAGTATGGAGAATTTGATGTTACATCAGATAATAACCTCCAGCTGAAAAGGTGTCCAATCTCATAACCTGTTGGCTAGTAAATGTACTATACAGTGTATATTGTATTGAGAAGTTACAAGTCAATCATGTCAATCTGTAATCAATCTATCAGTTACAAATTGGGTTGATTATCACCAGTACGCAAAATTGGTCGCAACAAAAAAAAATTGCCATGAGTGTCATGGCAGAAAATCTCATGGCATATTCAAATGTCTTATAAATACTGTTGGTAAACACTAGCTCAGATTTTGATATAATCCTGATCTTAAGCAATCTTAATCATTCATTTAACCCTTTAACTCCCAATGATCTGAATGTCAATTCTCCCTTCTAGCTGCTACACATTTCCTGGTAAAATAGCTGCAAGAATTTGGTGCTAGATCAGGGTAACAACTTTCACCTGATAAGTTTGAGTATTCTTATTACCTGCTTGTTAGATAATGTATGGGTATTATGGGGAGAAGTCATATTTTAATCACTTCAGTCTGGGAGTTAAAGGGTTGGCAAATAAGCAAACACAGTTGTCGTAATAATCTGTCAAACAAAATGAGAGAAAAACATAACTACCTAGTTGACAAATTTCTTCCTTGAAACTTGCAGTTACCAGTTCTTCTCTGTACTTTGTCGACAGTGGATGTACTTGAATAATCTATACAGAGATGTGATAAAATTCAAATAATAAATTTTATATGTTTGTATTTAAATGTATCTATCTATCTGTTTGCTGTGCCCTCTATATAATACAAAGAGGGTAAAGCAGATGAACTACCACTGTGCTGAACAGCCCTAAATCAGCTTAGAAAACTTACACAATACAAATGAAGAACCACTTATTAATAAGTAGGGTAAGTTTACTTTTATTCAAAACCAGCAATAACAGATTTTTAGGATCAAGAGTTTGACTAATAATTCCCATAAAAATCCTTTTATTTTGCTCATTGTGCAATAAAAGCACATTTGCAAATTTACAGAGGGTTGAAATTAGAAGATCCTCGCAGCTAAGAACACTACTGAAACGAGTAGTTGTAAAATAGGACCTGTTCTTAGCTGCGAGGATCTTCTAATTTCATCTTTCCACCGCAGTGCAAATATGTGAATTTTCATATATCTAAAATCTTCATTACAGAGGGTTATTGTGCAAGCTTGGGCCACCTATGGGGTAAACCACCAAAAATTACTGACAGTATATAAAAGACTTTGTGAGTATTATTATTAAATCTTAAGACAAATAAATCCATGCACCACAGTGCATTGTGTTTAAATGTATAATTTGAAAAAACTTCTTCTCAATGAAATGATTTATATTATGTTTCTCCTGCTTGTAATTATCACGATTATATAGCAGAAATGAACAAAAATTCAACAGAGAGTAAAAATTTAAATCTTACTGAGAGACGCAAAGTTTCCTCATTTTTCTGACTTAGGTCAGTATGCATTTCCACACTGAATGCATAATCAAGATCTCCTGAAAAACAACAACAACAAAAAACAAAACAAAATGTGATGACAAATTCAGAAAATCTGAACATTACTATTAGCATCAGAAACCATTTGCTCATGATTCACAATGTTATTATAATGGACTACTTCGTTCCGTTATGTAAGATATATATACTGTAATAGTGTTCTCCAGAAATTTCTCACTAGCCAGCCATAAAAAGGCATTTGCCAGTAAAGATCAGGCTCCAGTTGTTTCAAGGGTGAATAACATGATCCACTGGATAAATCTCTATCCAGTGGATAGCCCAGTACATTTTGTTAACACTTATCTGCTGGATCGAGATTTATTCAGCCACACTATCATTAGCTATCTATTACAGCTCTGACTAATTGTAACAGTAAAAGTTAAGGAAAAAAACTGAAGACCAATTCATTGTTATACACACCTATTTGCATAGGGGGGTTGACACTTTTGTAAAAAGTTCCAACATAATTAAAATTGATCTCTGGTTGAGAAACTCTTAAGGTTACTGTGGCTGGTTGAGTGCACATATTGACTGTCGCTTCATAAAATACTGCCTTGTCATCAGCGAATCCCAAGCAATCCAAAGTGTTATTTGATGTCTTGCCACATGGAAATGGAGGGCGCTCTGTGGTAAAAATTAGAAAAAAAAATCAGCTCAAGGAAACAAACAATTACTGCTGTACACTTGATAATTTTTTGGAAAGATTCTTGGTAAAACTGAAATTCAAATCAGTCATCTTTCAAAACAATTTCCAGTTTTAGATTATATTTCATATTCAACACCAAATACTGTGTCTGATTCAGTAAATATCACACAGAAAAGATTTTCAAGGCTTTGTTGCTCAGTTTTTAGAAAAATACCATGATATTTCTATGAACCTGAGGACTCTAAAGAGAAAACTGTATGAGTATAGGTTGGGAAGGAGAAATGAAGTCCATTTAGAGCATGCAATGCAGGAGATAATTAGACATGAAATTGAAGGCCCTTCATCACTTCTTTTTCTTAAAACGGAACAATAGTTTCATAACGAAATCCTCTTTCAAAGTAATGTTCAATGGCAGATCTCTCATCTGACAAACATTTTTCTGTTTGGGTCTCTTTAAAGTTCTGCATCGATGGCAGAGTAGCTCACTGCTCTCACAAATTCTTTTCCACATTTGTGGTAGAACATCTCAATACACTTGGTACAGTTTAGTCCATTCGCATAGTGACTCCAAGTTGACCCAGTGCAACCTGGTGCAACACGATGAGCTGTATCGTGACAAAGAGTTGACTACTGGCACAAATGTCACGTGACAAAATATTTTTCTCGATTTGCAAAAATTTTCTGGATTTTGGAAAGATTCTTGGACTGTAAATTATTTTCAATTTTCATGAGAGTTACTTATGGATCTATGAATTAAACCAGGATTTGAAATTGTTTTCTTGATTTGAAAAACTTTTCTAAAGTGATTTGTCTAGGAGATATCGATTCTAAGTGTTTTTTCCAATTTTCAAAACATTTTTGGATTGCCCCTTTTCCGCTTCTGTAGAAATGAGATGCCAGTCACTATTAATATCAAATTTGGATTTGATTCACAAATTTCTTGTTACTTTACTTTGTAAATTAATCGTGATCTGAGTTGCTTAAAAATTTCCTTTAAATAAATATTTATGATCAGAATGTACTTTCAACAATAGTATATCAGAACTATGACAAGGCATTTTATTGTTTCATACTGTACACAAATACTGAAAAACCAAATGATTTCGTGTAGGACTCCAAAATCATCTCGATTTTGTCGATTTTGTTTCAATAGCACTAATCAATGTGGTTAGGAAAATGATGAGCTTGTAATGTTTGAAAGAAATTACAAAAAAACCTAAGAACGTTTTTTTTAAGTTTTGTGATGTTGATATCAGAACATTTAAAACCCGATTTGAAGATATCAATTTTTTAACGGTGCCATACACACTAATTGCTTTTTAATTAGCATACAGTTAACCTCGTTGACAATAATGCGATCTAAAACGAGTAATTTGTCGCTGCAATACGAGGAATAAAAGAACTTTTGTGGAAGGGAATATTTGGATGCGATAAATTTAAATTCAAACGCTCTAGATATATTGATAACGCCATTCAAACTAACGCAACCGTAATGGCTTTGTTTGCAACTGTCTCGTATTGAGCACAAGATATTGTTTACATTGTGAACAATGAATGAAATATAAAAACAAGTTTAATTAATCATACTTACTAAAGCTTCGGATGACAGATCTCGCATGTAGAGGCTGGACGGGTCTATAATTGTCGCCCAAGGGCAATTTCTTTGTGTTTTGTTTTACACCGTCAAAAAGATCTCTGAATTTATCCAGTTGAACTTGTGATATAGGAAAAGTGTGATTGAACACAAACCACTGCACACTTTCATAACATCCAGGAGTTGTAAGCGAGCCTCTATAAGTGTAATATTGAGCAATGTCGTGTGGTAAGAATGAAAAAGGCTGAAGATAAGGCAAAATTATTTCGTTGTCTTTATAACGAACTTTCTCAAGGTTATCCACTATCCCACTGAAAACCGGGTTGTCTTGAGCCTGAAGTTCGACCAATATTCCCAAAACTGCTAAGCCATCTCCCTTCTTCAGAGCCTCCGATGCGCTAAGGTACTTTTCCGCATTGTAGTGTACAATATGTATTTCCAAGGGAAATTTTCTTCCACCGACCTGATGCTCTGAACCGCGCGAATTCTTGCTGCCCCAGTGAAAATGCATTTGTAGAGCGCGAAAACCCGAAGTCAGATTTCCACCGGAAATATCGGACTTGCCGGTTAAAAAAGTCGCCTGAACGGTATGTCCATTATTGAATAGCTTGGCAGAAACATTGTTCTCGTAGTTGACAACGAGATCGGCAAGCCCCGGTTCGAAAAGAGTATCTTTTGGTACAATGTTTATCGGAGACTGTTCATAACCTCCGCAATCCTTGAAGTGGTGTTTCCACGTGTTGGGCCCCTCCGGGTCGCGGTATGTCCAAGATCCTGAACTTTCTGCCAGGTGTGGACATACGAAAAGTAGCAAAGAGATAAGCAGGGAGAGTTTCATTGTGATTTTGCTGTAAAAGAGGCTCTTACGGCAGCTAAACTTCAATACCAACTTTCTTCTAGAGCCTGGCTTCTGATCACAACAGAAGAGCCGTATGACTGTTTTGGTTAGGAGAAAGTGGAGCCCAGTCTCTCAAATAGAGTGTACGAGCGAGTCCAAGGTTCGGCAAAAACACTGCAATATTTTCGAGCATATGATCGATAATACTACGAAGAAACTTATTCCTTTTCAGAAAATATCTCAGACTGATATCAATTAAGTGTTCTTGACTCCTTTTCTAAGAGTTGTCCTTGAGATTACGTAAGCTCCTTCAGTCTAAGACGTCATGGACTTCGATACGATCGGCGGCCTTCATCTTTGTTTGAAAAAATTTATCAGTCGTGTTTCCTAATAAAGTTTTACTTCCTTTTCATGCCTCTGCGCGGAGTAAGCAGTGAAAATTAACCACGTGAAAGGGATCTTCTTTATTACGCAATAAATCATTAAAAATATATGTTAAGAGTTGGTGAAAAGTACTTTTCGATGTTGCTTTTCTTCCAATGAAGAGGACGACAGCAATGGTGTTTTTTACTTTCGACGAGCCACCAATTTACAAAAAGGCATTGAAATATATTAAAACATGAGTAAAAAGATGTCAAATATCTGGGATTCCGCTTAATTTAGTAACTGAAAAAAAACTTAGCAATGCACATTTAAAAAAAATCAGCTTGCGTTACTTTTCGTTCACTTTCCCCTAAGGAAAGATGTATTGGACGAGCTACTAACCGAAAAAAAACACTGTGATCATTAAAAATTTAGGTCCTCTGTCTGTTCTGGGACACTCAATTAGAATATTGATCATTTGATCAGCACAAAAATCCTCGAAGATTTAATCTGTCCGAAATCTGTTCAAGCGATAGGACATTTTGATTGTCTAATTGTAAAACTTGACAGTCAAGCATTTCAGAACTAGCTGAATCGTTCTCTAGTAAGAGAAATTGGAGTCTTCAATTTATGCAAAGTTTTAACTTAAAACCAGTGAAAATAAGACAATTATGAAAGAGATCTTCTCTACCTAGAGAAGAGAGGCTAGAGGTTTAAATTCAGGGAGGAATATATCTAACTATTATATTTTATCTATAATTCCAGATTATTAGAGAAACTTTCTGTACCTTAGTTACCTAAACTTATTCTTCCTGATCAGGAATGCACACTTGACAAGAAACAGAAACTTTACCTCTGTACATGCACATACGCAAATATAACTTGGAAAATCACGAGCTATGACAATACTGATCTATTTCATACAGTGCGTATCGTTGGTTTTCCCTCTTAAAGCTGCGTTAGAAACATTTCTTTTCATCAGCGAACTGTATATGTTTGCAAAATATTCGCGAGTGCATCTCCTCATTTTGATTAAGGTGTCCTGCGTTTTTAAAAAAGCTGAAATTGCCGAAAACGCGAGTAATATTTCCATGATTCTAGGTTTACAAATGTTATTGGAACTACGATACGACATATTTGTCTGATTATTCTGCGATACCTTGAGCCAAATTTTGTGTGATGTTTTAGTTTGGTGGAACGGAGAAATGTTAAACCAAGAAGGAGCCAGATGGTAAAGAATGAAGAAGATTGAAAAAGTTCAAAAGCAACGACCTGAAAAATTAATTTATCTCAACAAAGCCTTTTGATGGGAAAAAAGTGGCACTACTTGAAATTACCGTCCATGCTCAAATCTGATGACGTAAATGTATAACAAGCAAAGCAATAACAATATTATGACTAAAGCACATCCATTAACTTCACTTTCCCAACTCTCTTACAGTTTCTAAAAAATTAATAAAATATATTTATCAACTAAAAAAAGAGTAAACGAAACACATTTTAAGCAAAACATCGACGAGATCTGCCAGGTTGTTTGAGCTGCGCGCGTCACAGCTACCGCAAAAATTCCACTCGTTTAGTCGACTATACATGTCGATGTTTGGAATCTAGAAATTTTGGTCCGGTACAAAGTTTTGAAACAGACCATGCAGTACAGGATTAATACAGCCACAGTCCGTCTTCCACGTGCTCGATCAAATATTACACCGATGAAAACAGACAGTAGATGTACACTCAGTCTGATATTGAACTAACCTGCTATTTCAAACCTCGATGTAAACTTCTCTTTTATTTTCTGAGAAATTTCGGAAAAAGACAGGGCATCCAGCTAACAGTTTATTTGATTTCCTTTGAGTTAACCTGTACAGCAGTAGAATTAGAAAAAATGGTTGGCTTTATCCAAAAATTCTTACTTGCTTTCAGATCTCAATGTCCTGGATTGGGGATTCTAATGCGGTATATTTAATGATGTCAAGATTCGAGGCATCTGTTATACTCTGACTAATATACAACCCGATATTGTCAACTAGATAAAAGAGCCATTAGGTGTCTTTGGCCTCTAGGAAACAGCTACGTATAGGAAATCATATCAACACGAGCGTGTTTCGTGAAGTGTAGGCACTTTTTTTGTGGGCTTACGTATTTGCACAAGTCGTCGCCGGCGAGTGCAATTCTTGAAAACCTTTCAAAATATCACGTCGAGTGACCATAAATAAAAAACTGTACTAGCGACGAATGTCCTTAAAGTCTCACAGCGAGGGCCTAGCGCTCGAACCGACAGCTTTAGAAACTTTAGAAGGTGACCAATTTATACTATCAACTCAGCTGATGAAACCAAAATACACTTTTCATTAGTTTAAAACTGCCCACATGATTGCATGAGAATCTTTGACCTTTTTATACGATCACTGTGACAAACACACTCAAGCTTTTTGTTTTCCGGAAATTTTGCAGAAATAACCCTGTTTTCTCTTACAGCTTTATTGAGAGTACTACACAAAACGCCTGTAATATACTGTATAACCTATTTCAGCTTTTTCTCATAGACCAATGAAGGCCGAGACAAACTTTTCTTGGTATTGTGCATGACGTTGGCTCCTAGCAAGTCATTCGGCGCCACAAACACTCTCTACTAATTTAGAGGGAAATTCTAACAGCCGATAGGGAGAAATTTAAATTACATCTAGGCCGTCAGCGAGGCGCTGATCTTTCACATGAAATCAGAAGCACGCATTCTTTTTCCCGTTTTCAAATTCTGAAGATTCTTCAACTTGTTAAGAATTTGTTTGTCATCTGACGCACGACCTTGTTCTAAAGGTTTACTTAACTCGTCCTTTCCCTTCGTTTTCGGTTCAAGTCTCTCCTTTTCTTCGTATCGACGTTTAATTTTGTGCTTGTGTTTGTGTTTTTTCTTCGATTTATGTCTGGGTTTATGCTTAGCCCGATACTCTTCCTCGCTGTCGGAAGACTCAGAATAACGCTTCTTTGTTTCTTCGTATTTATCCTGGCGTTTCCTCCGGTCAGAGTCGTCCTTAGTTTTCTTACGGTCAGCGTAACGTTTTTCTCCGGAAAAAGAGTTCGAAGGGGTTATCTTTCTAAAAGATGGCGGTAGGGCCGGTCCGAAATTTTCAGGAGAAGAGTCCGCTCTCTCTATCTCTGTATTTTTCGCGACCACAATCTGCGTTTCAACCGGTCTCTGTTCCTCATTTTCAATCGGTTTGATGTTCAATTCTTTATCGAGAGTTTTATCATTTGGAAGAACATTATTTCTCAAACTGTTTTCTTCGGTTCTTTCATCGACATGGCTCCGCAAAGCTTCTTCAGGAGACTTGATTTCCGAAGTAGCAATCGATACATCTTCGGTTCCTTCATCTTTGCTGACTTCTTCCTTATCGCTTGACGCCTCGGATTCGTCCGAAGACGAATCGGCGAAAATCGCTTTGAACAAATCCATATCTGGCCGCTTTGGCACAGAATTCTCTCCCTTTTGTTCTTCATCAGCTTTAACATTTGATTCTCTTGGCCTAGCAATGTCCGAATTAGCTAAAGCCGTTACTGAAGCGGGCACAACAGCTGTTTTCGAAGGTAAACCGGAACTCACCGAATTTGTATCAGAAGGGTTCGACTGACGGTCGATTGCATTGATCGTTTCCGTAGAGCTTCCGAACTTGTCCGTCTTGTCATCGTCGTTAGCACTCGTTGACGAATGTTCGTAAGTAACCGCACGAGGTTCTCGAGGTACTATGAAATCTCCAAGTGTGAACTTCGGCTTTCGTACCTTCGGGACCCCTACGATGTGAGATCCTGGGTAGGGGTTCGGAATATTGAACCGTTTACATAAAACATTTTCGGGATGCCACTCGAAGTTATCCCGAGTTAGTTTTCCGAACATTTTCATAGAAGCCGCCTGTGCCTGCTCAGAAGAATCTGAAGATTCTTGAGCGGGTACATCTTCGTACACCACTCTGTGATCATCTTGTTGTTTCGCAGTCGTAAATCTGGCCGCCATTGTAGAACTCAGAGGTCTATACAAAGATGCAGACCGGGCGAATTCCTCCCTTTCACGTTCTCTTTCCCATTCCGTTAAACCGCTGAAAAGCGAAACGAAAAGTTTAAATTCGTTTAGTTTAAATTCGACC